TCCGCCCCCGCCTCCCCCTCCTCCGCCGCCACCACCACAACACTCAGGAGATAGAGTGGGAATCCTCGGCGGGTACCGGCAGCATCACCACCAACAACACCCCCCCAGTCCTCCGGGGCAAAGGAGTGAGTGGGAGTCAGGCGGCTATCTCCCAAGAGGGGGGATGTACTCGTCCAACACCAGCGAGATGTCCTACCCCTCCAGTCCAAAGGTTGGAGACCCTCATGTGAGGGACGTGCTGTGATATGTATTATTGTCATGGATTGTTTTTCACCCATGAAAATGCATTTTCAAGGCTGCAAAGCTCAATTCTCTTGAATGCTTAAGGGTGTGTGCATGTCTTGTTTTATGTATTGTTCTGTTTTATGCAGGAAGAGAGGGCGATACAAAGTAGAGCAGGACTGAACTGCGAAGGCATTGATTCTAATTGGTATTGGTGTTTGCCTTATAGCTGAGTGGATTGTGTAAATCTGAAGTGCTGATGAAAGCATACTGCTTTGGAGATGATCTATATTTGTAATGCGTTTGTACATTAGCATTTCATAAGATATGTTGAAACCAGCCTGTGTGTGTGAGTGAGTGTGTTGCACGGATATTCAAGCCGTGCTCTCTATGTGCCAAGGGGCTTAATGATTCATCTTATTTTACTGTGGTTCAGATAATGAGAAATACCTCTCATGCCAGTCGTGTTTCCAGTGCAAGCACCCCCTTGGTGAGTGTCTTTCTGTAAACAATCAATTTGTAGGACAACTGAGCTTTATGCGTTTGTCAAATCCTAGCCAAACCAGATGCTTTTGTTTTCAAAAGACGTACTGAATGAACACACTGTTTGAATCAACATAAACTCAGCTGTTCCATGAAAACGTGGTCTTTCCCCATTAGCAACTAGCTCCTAGTCCCCCAAACCAGAGGCGTCAGATGACCCCTGTCATGTCTAAACCCGTCATGCTGCCGCAGTCCCAGACCCAGAGAGCAGACCCTCTCAGACCTACGCTCCGTTCAGAGGCCCTGGTAGGAAACACACCACACACTCAAATCTTCTCTCATTCAGTGTAATAAGTTAATTAAACATTCAGACATCTGACACAGCATGCCCTCAACTGTGTGCGAGATTATTCTACGCCTCTTTAGCGAGTCCTATTGCATCTTTCAGACTCTCCAGCTGTTCCCAATCTGTCATTTTCACATCCCACAGGGGAGGCATTTAATGTCAAATATCTTCAAAGAAAGTTGACGGATTGTTTATTTTTCAAACTGCTTTTATTTTGGAGGAACACTTTTCAGTACTGTGCTGGCATTTATACACCTGAAAAGATAAACTACACAATTCTACCATCAGTTCCGAAGCTCCTCTGCAGCTGGAGGTGAAACGCCCCGCTGAGAGGCACCTTGACTGAGGGAGAGGGAGGGGGTGCCATAAATCACTCACTTTCCCCTCACGTGTTTTACCCTAGTAGCTACAGTAGATTACACTGCTGCAGCACACTGTACTGCTGCCTTTTAAAAGCAGGTTTACATGTTTTATTTAAGTTCAATCGTTAATATTGAGCCCAAAGATACGTTTTGTGCAGTATATTACCCAATTCTGAGGGTCCCTGTGTTTATCAGCATGGAGAAAAGGGCCAATTAAGTTTAGTAGACGGTTCATAGTAGTCTATATTACTAGGCCTCCCACGGGAGTAGCAGTGGAAGGAGTCATAAGGCTTTCTTCCTGCCCCTTACGTCCCATTCTCATGAAAGCAGTATGTCCGGAACGCCTGAAGAGAAATGTTGCCCAGACATCCACTTAAACTTTAGGATTAACTGATTTAAGATTTGGTATCAACAAGTCAATGTCACTTTGACCTTTTTGCAATAACTCAATAATGTATACACTTAAAACTTTCAATCTGAGGGCAGTAAAACATTGACAACAGCGGAGAAGTCAGGGTTTGTTTTCATTTGTTTGCCAAAAGTTATGCCATGGTCTTGTGTTTCAGCCTCAGGAAATGCTGAAACGGATGGTGCCTTTCAACTCGTCTTTTAAATCCAACAGCAAACGACAAGTAATCCATAACCATCTGTTGATTTGTTATTACTCTTGAGTGCGTGTTCTGCTGTTCTTTCTGCATTAGTTTGTCCGTGCTCGCACATAAGGTTTTCTCATTATTGCCTGTCATGGCTCTTCCTTCCTATTTTGTCCTCATTCTCCTTGGATGCATTACTGCGGGGTGAATTGTGCACGAGAGGGTTTCTATTGATTTGGAGAATACTATAGTGACATACAGTGTGGGAATTTCTGCCAGTGTTACTGCAGTTATTGGCTTTGATCTTTACTGGCAACAGATGGTTTGTTCCTCATGTACTGACTTCTGATCTGTTTTGGTGGGTTACGTGAGCATTATGAAAGTGATGAGGTTGTTTTTTTGTACCTCCGCAGTCTCTTTGAATTGACTGTATTTATTGTTTGGAAAACCACATCACTTAGTTTGTTTTGGCTGATTTCAACTGCTGACTCCAGCCACAACAAATCAAAACCTATAAAAGAAACGGACCAGTGTTGAGTGTTTGAGCAAAACAACAGGAAATGAAGAGTTAGATTAATATTTGTTTATTCTGCAGGGAGAAAAGTGGCTCTGGCTTTGTCCAGTTTCCTACCTTTAAAATTAAATAGTCGCCAACTCCGTTAGAAATGATTTTCTGTGTGTGCGTTAAATGCCATCATTGAATTAAAGTGTGAGGCTTCGAGGGCCACTGTGCTTTTTGAATTAATGTCCCTAAGTGTTTCCATGGTTTCTTTTTATTCAGGGTGATATTAAAATGTTTACATAGAATTGGTTGTCAAAGGAAATCTGAGCACTTCATTCAATGAGTTGGTCCACAACTGATATTCACCAAGATTTCCTTGACATTCTCCTTTCATTGTGTCGCTTATTGATGTGTTCTTAATTGATTATCTTTCAGGGATTTCAGAAATACGAAGAAGATTTTGATCCCCACTCAATGGTATTGTATGCATTTCAAATGAAAGACGTACTATACTAACAGATTTTACCTTCTGCTTAGTATAAATGTCAACTTTCTGTGTCTGCTAGGATGCATTACCTGCTGTGCTAAAGTTTCTTTAGGTTACAAAGTGTGTGTGCTATAGGCCTACGCATGGCAGCCATTTTGAATTATGTCTGACTAGAAATGGTTCAAAACAGTATTACTGCAACAGTTACGATGAAATTAACAAAAATACGCCGGAATCAGAACAGATGTTAGTTAGTTATCAATTGTGGTTTATTGATAGTTAAATAAGCTAGCTTGTTTTAGCTGAGTCATGAATTATTTTAATTTTGTTATGGTTTAATAGATAAGGAGTTTGTTTCCATGAAAGAAGCATAAACAACGTTCCTCTAGCAAACTATTGTAGAGATCTTCATAAGTTATATCCTTCATGGTTAATAGAGGAGCATTTTAATTTAATTTGTTTGCTAAGCATTGCCATACAGATATAGTTAGATTTTGGCACAATATTTGTTTTACCGTTACTACAAAGCAATCACAGTGTTGTATTGGGCTTTTCAACTTCCCTAATCCTTCTCTTGGTTCTAGTTCTCCCAGGATCAGATAGACGGGCGAGATGTAAGACGTCTAAGAATAAAAAAGGTACATCTTCTGCCTCACTGTAATATAATAAATCTCACATATTTCTTTATGTTCAATATTTAAAAACATGAGGATGGTGTTGATGTTGATTGTTTTCAAGACCGGACATCTTGACATTGCTCTGGAGGGAGGTGCAGACTCGCCTTTGGGAAAGTTAGTGATATCCGCTGTGTATGAAGGTGGCGCTGCTGACAAGCACGGTTAGTTCATTTTTTGTTTTAAATATTAACTCACTGAAAAATCTATGTTACATTTAGATCCATGGACATTACAAAAAAGGCAAATATATTTTGTATTGAAAGCATTTTAAACATGGATGTGCCAGGGATTGACACTGGTTCCTGCTGGATGATGTTTCCCTTTGATTGTCTTCACGCTTAATCTCTGCAGCAGCTTCCCACTCAGTTTGTCATGAATGAAACATGTCTGGAGTTAGCCATCTCTGATGTGTCTGCTTGTAGGTGGCGTAGTGCCCGGAGATGAACTGATGGCTGTGAATGGGAAGATCCTGCTTGATGCAACATTGACCGAGGGACAAAACGCTTTGGCACGAGCCTGGAACAGTGGAGGGGTATGACTCACATTAAAGGAAAATGATGTGTCGTACTTCCATTCAAAGGATTATTTATGCTAACCACAGTAGCAACATCAGTATTGATTGTACTTAAACCCAGTCAACATTGATTGATTGTTTGTGTATGTTGTTGTCACACTTTTTTTTACATTTATAACATTTTTTATATTCACTCAAGCGGAAAATTAAAGTCAAAAGTTGTTTTTACCTTTAGGACTGGATCGATGTTGTGATCACCGTCTCCCCTCCGAAAGATTATGAAGATGAAGTGTAAGAATTCCTGATAATTATTTATTCACAAACATGTATGTGCATTGTGTATTCATTTGTTTTTGTGGATCTTTTATACAATTATTCAAATGTAAATCTGGGGCATTTGTGTGATCATTTAAGGCCAGAGGTTTCTCAATATATTTTTTTCTTTAGCCAAGGCCCCCTCAAAACATAGAGCAGATAACCAGGACACCCGATGCATTATTGGAAATATTAAAAAATATATTATTTTCTCATACTTTTATAGGTTTATTTAGCCTATGTTTAAGAACAACACAAGCCAAATGTATTAGTAACATATTGGACATGTAATCAGTATATTTACAGATATTAAAGTTGTAGATGTAAAGTAATCTGTGAACTATTATAGATTAAACATTTGTTTATGTATTAGATATTGATATTAAACATTACTGTTAAGCTATGACTATGGTGGGGAAAAAAAGTCATAATTTAAACTGAATCATTTGTAAAACCTTTGGCAGACTCTCTGGCATAGTGCCACTTTGAGATTAAGGCCATAATCTAATGAAACTGGCCCAGCATTTTACGTGTATGTTACAGTGTGGCTTTGTGTCTGTGTGTTTTTGAATGTGTATGCAGCCCTAAGTCAGCATCAGTCAGTCCCACTGTGAACAGAAAGGTGTTTAAAGGCAGTGCAACACTGTACAGACACGGCTACCTCGTTCAGCACTAGCCCTCCCTCACCTCCCGGTAAACAACGTAGTCTTCAAAGATTCCTCTTCACTGCACGTCTCAGAGAGGAAGTTTGGTGTGGCATTGTTTTGTTTGGCCCCACTCTTTTTTTCTGAAAGCACATGTGACAGTCTCCCTGTCGATCAGAATAAAAAAAGCAGACTATTTTGGGATTTGTTTCCCACCTTTTGTCAAATTGTGATATTTGCAGTGTGTATCGCTTTAACAGTATGGATATTTCCAAGAAAAGTTAGCGTGAGAGTGAATATCTACATCCTATGCAATTTTTCTATATACGAAAAATGTCTCGAGGCGTGTTCCTTTATTCCTGAAGAATGTGCTATAGAATGATAAAGACATGCTATTCAAGTGAAGACATTTACAACTAATGCGATCGTTGACCCATCCCTCTATATATCTGCCAAATATTTGACCCAGTGAGCCGCATATATCTCAAATGTAAATTTGTGGCCTCTGTGGTATTGTCCTTTGTCATCAGGGCATGGCCACTCTTTAAAGCAGGACTCCTGCCAGCCTTCAGCAGTTGTTCTGATTGATGTTGCTCCCTGGACTGTTACATGTTGTGACATACATAGACACTCAGTGACACCGGGTCATGCTGTAACGAGGATTCCTACAGAAAACATCTATATGTTCCCAGGGTTATGATAACGTTTTAAAGGAAGCAGTTGTTGCAGTTTTGATTCCTGCATGTGTGTTGGTGTTGTGTTTATGTGCAGTGACTAAAGCAATCAAATTAGGAGAAATGTACAAAGTAAGCTTTTATTTGGTGCATTCTTATCTCACATGTTGTTAATTAATTCTTCTTTCTTCTCCTGCAGGACATTCTTCTAGTCTCATCAACAGCCTGCCAAGAAAATCCACACTGATTAAGACGCTTATCATTGTTAAGCGCAACATGGTCCTTTTTTATTACTCATCATTATTATAGGCTCTTATAAAGCCTTGTGTCATGTCATCAAGCTATTGACACCATAGGGTCGGTAAGCATCCTCACTGTCTTGTTTATTAAAGGATGATCCAGTCAATAATCAGTCGCCTTCAGCCTGTACATGGCTGACCTCTTTTTACATCCGCATGGCCATGCTGAGCATTCTCTTCAGAGATGTGACTCATTCATCAGTATGAAAGGACGGGTTAAAACTGTCAAACTGTAATCAATAGCTGATGTCTAATCTGCCTTTTCAAAGCTCAATAAAAGACTGCTCATCATCACAGAATTGAGTTTCTGTTGTGCGTACAGATTTCTTCTCCCCCTGCTGTGCATTTTTCATTACTACACTGCCAGGTTGGTGTTACAGAGAGCCAGGACTATCAGCAGATTTTACACACCATACCTTTTCAGGAAGAAAAATTAAGGGACATTGAAATTCTAGCTTGATATTTACTCTCGGATCTCAGTTTGGCAGCCAGCTCCAGCTTTACATTTTTAATGCTTTTTCTACCCTGCATACATTTGTTTTCTCATTCTTTGCTTGCTTTAAGGTTGATAAACAATATTCTACTCATGTAAAGGGGGCTTGAGGTAAGCACTTTTCTCCATCATAGACATACTTTCGCCTTCTCTATACTGTTTCACCAGCTCGGCTTTGATTTACATTTAGGTTGTGGAGCCATACAGCTTTGGAATTAAACGTCAACAGGGGGCAATAGTGCTCCTTATTGCATATCATTACACTCTGTATAAGGGTTAGTCCCATCTGGATTTGTAATCCTGCTTTTAATTAACCCTAAATGTCAAAAATGTTGACAGGGGAGAGTGGGGTAAGTTGAGCCATTTTTTAGTTATGCTGTCCTCTAAGCAAGGGGAAATTACACATAGTAAAATGAAAGCACACGCCTTTAATTCAGGATGTCTCCTATCAATGGCAATGATAAGAATTCATATTTGATCAAGGGCAGTGAAAATATTACCTCTAAAAAAAGGGGTCTTGTGGCTCAACTTGCCCCGGGTTATGGGGAAAGTTGATCCAGGTCAGGGGGTAAATTGAACCACTGTTCAAACCTGGGCACACCTGTTCAAACCTGGGCATACCTACAAAAAATCTTAAAGGTAACTTTAACCTATAAATAACAAACCAAATACAAGTTTAGTTTTTCAAATATTTGTTATATAAATTTCGATTGAATTGATTGAATTTTTTTTAACATGTTAAAAGGAAAAGTAATCATACAAATGGTGATACAATTTCATACATCTTACCAATCAAACACAGGGTAAATTCAACTTTAAATGTAGCCTACAATGAGCTCTTATTATCAACTTCACTACTTTCATTCATTTCTCCATTGAAAAACTGGCTCAACTTACCCCAGGGCCCATGGTTGACTTTACCCCATAGCCACCGTTTTAGAAAAAATATCCTAGCATTAAAATTCAGTGTCATCTTTAGCTTAATGATTCACATGGTTTAATACGCTGCCAACATATCAACATATATATATGTGTTTAAACCTGAATACATTTTTGTTGACATGACAGCCGATATAGCTGACATCTAGAACATTTACTTTGACAAGCAAAAAACGTTTTTTTGTAAAAATGTTTACTTTCCAGACCACAATAAGCATCTCTCTTTCACAGGCAATGAGAAATGGGAGGAGCTTAATTTCTGGTCACGTGATTACAACTATAAGGCGTTGCCTGGTTACAGAGGGTGGTTCAATTTACCCACTGCCTCAATTTACCCCCTTCTCCCCTACATGTGGGACTTGTTAATTGTAAATGCAAACTTGTGTTTATCTAAAAGCCACCCAGAACATCCGTCATGTAATGTAAAAACACGTGTGTATCTCTGTACAGCATTACTTTACTGTTATATAACCGCTCCGGTACATGACCACATACGATACGTGACTGCTGTCTGCTGCGAGTTTCAGCGTCGCATCGACAGATGAGCTGCCCCTGCTACTTTAATCCGTTGTAGTCCAAAAGCGGCCTACCATGGAAGACTAGCCCTGTTCTTCTTCTTCCTGTTCCTCCTTCTCCTCTGTACCCGGGTTCAGGACCGTGGACAGCTCACTGCCTTCTTCCTTAAACCTCCGCCTGGTTGGTGGTCAAACACAAAGTGGGACGGCAAGAAGTCGGCTGCACTCTGAACACATGAGAGAGTGCAATCTGGGAGATTTTATCCCTTTTGTTTTTTTAACGACCAATCGACGCATGTGACAGTACTGAAGAGAGTTTTGGGAGTCAGGGAAACGCCGCTGCAACAATGATCTCACGATATAAACTGGTAAGTCACCTGGTCTCTCACACAGGTCGATACTCTCACTTTAAACTGTTCACACATTCAAGCACGTTACATTTAGTTGGCATCTGTCTGTATATGTGGTTCTATAACAATGGCAGTCTCGATTTCTTGCTGTTCCTATGAGTGTTTTTAGGAATGCATTGTACACTATCTTTGTTGTAAGCCCCCCAGGTTTACTAAGCACTTTTTTCTTTTCTAAGGGTCTCTGTGAGTGGCTTCTGCTCTACTCATTGTTCTCTTTCTTTTTATACACTGAAGCTTTAACTCTCCCCAGGCAATCTAGTGCTGGACAATGCTTATCTCAAATGTAGTGCAGCACAGAACCACAACTCAGCCAGTTTTCCCAGAAGTAAAAAAAAAGAAGGATAATAATAATACAGTGCATGATAAAGCTGTTTTATGTATATGAGGCATTGATGCTGGCAGTATCTTGCACGATGCAATCTGTTCTCATTGTGTTGGTAAAACCCCTGCTGACATAACATCTGGAATTGCTGTCTACTTTTGCTTAACAGAAGTATCCCCCTCCTTCAAGAAGCCACATATTGCCTAGCTGTTTACTGTCAGCTGGTCTATGGTCTTCTGGGTAAGAGGAAGTGAGAGGAGGTGGCTGCAGTCTTTATGACCTGTTTATCTTGTGTGTTCAAATGAAAGATTAGCAAGAATTTTTTACTTCCAGCTATGCCCGGTGTCTTGTTCCTTCACATGTCAATGCTTCCGAAATTCCTTTGGACCTTGAGCTTCCTAAAAGTAATCGCATTGATTTATTATTTTTGAATACTCTATTAGTTTAAAAGAGAAATATGTCTCAGCTATTTGTTTGCGAATAAAAGCCTGCTCTGCCTGCGTTTGCAAACTCCGTCAACATTAACATCACTTGAGACACTCAAGGTTGCTGCAATTGAATCAAACGTTTTTTCATTCCTCCCGGAATAAATATGAAGTTGTTACACATTCTTTGATGTCTTGCTTTACATCTGCACAGCTACAGTTACAGCGAACTGTAATAGAAAAGTAGAAAGCATCTCCTGGCATTTTAAGTAAAAACATTTGTAGAATTACTGCTACATAATATTACTTTACAGCAATTGGTTTCTCAGGGAATTAGTTAATGAAAGAAATGCAGAATGCAAACCTGCAGACAAGCAGACATTTCAATTGGAAAAAACTGAATATCTCTTTCAAGCAGCTCGACATCAAGAGTTATGTTGCTTTTATTCATGGCATGCACAGGGCCACATTTGTATAATGACTATGAATACATTATCTGTTTGTGTATTCTTATATGTCTTGATTCCACAGATATGTAAACACATTTAGGCTTTTCTTCCTATTGTTGTTGTTACTATGCAAAGGTCATGGTGGCTTGGATTACACTAAACATCAATCATTTTTACCAGTTAAAAAAAGGCTATTCAAACATGGATAATCAAATCTGCTCCCATGTGCCTCTTTGCTGATCCCTCTGAGAAACGTCAGCTGTGATTGGCTGCCGCGGGATCTCTCCCTGCAGAACCGGCACATATTGCATCCGCATTTATTCATATTTTATATCATTTTTTTTTTTAACGTTTCCAGCCTGGTTATTCAGTCGCTGCTGTGCTCTTCCTTACTTAATGCTCTTAATGTGATCCAAAATGATAAATGACTGGGGGTAGGGTTATTTAATTGCTGGGATAAGGATTTAGATTGGTGCGCTTGCTCATGCTTCACACGTACCTTTTGTATGATGCTTTTACTCACTCAGCATCTGTACCCCACCTTTCTCTCTCCTCTCTCTCTCTCTTGACATCTTTCACTGCTCTCCTGTACTGCCCCCCCCCTTGTCTTCAGTGGCTCTCAGTCCTCCTGCTCGCCGGTATACTCTTTCTCCCTCTGCCTTGTCTTCCAAGGTCGACTTTCATTTTCAAAGAGACAAGAATAGCGGATGCACTGCAGAATTCCACCGCTGTTCTGTGTGTGTGTGCATGCTTTTGTGTGTATGTGTGTCTGAATGCATTCTCGTGGAGCGGTGCAGAGCCAAGTGAAGCTTCAGTTTCAGAGGATGCCTGAAGATTGCAGACGGACGGCGAGCAGATGTTTCTCACCAGCATGGCCGGGAAAGAAGCTTAGTCTGCCGGAGAGGAGAGAGAGCTGCTGCTGTGACTGCTTCTGACCCCACATTTCCCTCCTTTTCTCTTTTTTCCTCTGTCTCCTCTCTTTTATTGGATCTGATTTTTGTTAGCTGGATTCCAGAGGGAGCAGCTCTCTTTGGGAATTTCCTATTGAAGACACCATCCAGTGTTCCCTTAGAAAAGGGTCGACATGCTCTGAGAGCCACTATTTAAAATCTGTCTGTGTTTCCTCCTGTCTGTGGTCCTCCCCTCCTCTTCCTCTTCCTCTTCCACCGGCCGGTTCCTCGCAGAGTCCCAGTTCCACCATGTCCTTGGCGTTCTGTGGGAACGAGAATAACTCGGTGGCATACAATGTGGACGGGGGGGTTCTGAACAACGGCTGTTTCCTGGATGCGCTCAACGTGGTGCCGCATGTGTTCCTCCTCTTCATCACCTTCCCCATCCTCTTCATTGGTGAGTGTAACTGTGAGATGAAATCCTCAACCTCTACCCATCATAGCTCCCACACACACACACTCGTTATATATGTGTGTAAAGTGACTAATAGACTAATGAAAGCATCTGTTTTCATTAGTGTCTACAGTATTTATTCTCTTTACCTTTGTTTTATTAATGCGCTCGTATGTGCACTTTGTTCCCTCAGTTAAAACACCCTCTCTGTAGTCCCATTAGCAAGGTTAGAAGTGTGCTAGAAGTTAAGGACGTATTTCTTTACACGCTGGTGAATGTGATGTATAGACTCAGATAGGTCTTTATATCCTTTGCCCTCCTTCCTGGCTGCTGGCCATTCCATTAGTGTCACCATCGTGTAACCAGCTAAGCGTCGCTGCACACACTGCTGCTCCACTCGTACAAAACGCGCTTCATAATCCTTCCTCTTACATCTGAGTATATGCACACCATGTGTACCTTTTTAACAGAATGTCCCTTGATACAACTGGTCTGATAGTCGCTCTGTGTTCCCCATTGTTCATTGATTATATTTTATCTTCCTCAATGACCTCATTATACTCCCAATTGCATCCATACATGGTTCCATATATTAATCATATCTCTCATTTAGTTTGTCTGTTTCTTTGTTTTTTAGCAATTTTTCCACGTGCTTCCACTTTTAGTCACTATGTGTTATTGTCCATGCTAGCAATGCTAGTCTGTCTGTCTATCTATCTGTCTATCTCAACAATTCCATTTGTTGTAAAGTTTAATAAAGACTTCAATGTTCGCCCAAGCATGAATTGTAACAACTTGGGTGATTCCTTTCTTTGTAAACTGTGCGACCACTGCGCCAAATTTGCCCAACATTTATTTTGACCAAATATCTGCTAAAGATAAAGAAAAATAAGAGCGTCTTACGTGTGTTATGTAATGTAATGTTATAAAAAAACTAAGTACTAAGCAGCAAGCAGTACCAAGCCAATGTACGCATGCGAACACACTAAACTAAAATGGTGAACATGGTAAAAATCGGCATGTGAGCATGTCTCTTAGAACTGCTCTGGCTGTCAAATATTGTTAGTTTTTTATCTTTTTCAAAGGTTAGATGTTTGTAGAAACACTGTGGAGATGGCCTTCATCAATGTTTTGTTTGTCATTTTAAAAACTTTTGTATTATTGGCGCAAAGAAATCAGAATGAAGTTATGGCAACTAGCAAACTGAAATAGGAAAGGCAAAACAATGAGTGAAAAGCAGTGTGTGTCCAGGACACTGAAGCTGCTGTGATCCATAGACTGTATACATACTGTATATGTGCTGTGAATTCTCTCTCTCTCTCTCTGCTGTCACCTCCAGCTCTACTGCGTTGACTAACAACTCTCTAACCAAATAAAACCCGTCAGAGGTATTACAAGCTTTTGTGTCCAGCATTATAGATGTACTCTGCGCTGTATCCTGACCTGCAGCGAGTCATCTAGTCTCATCAAGGTTAACAATGTAAGAGGGAGTCGTAGATACATGCACTACAACACTTTTATGAGACAGTTTTCTTGCACCATGAATGACTAAACACATGTTCAACCTCAGTTAGGAATGCAACCTATTGCTTAGAAATAATTGAATGGGTGAAAACATGTTTTGAAGATCTTAACCTGTTAAGCCCTGAGCCTCTTTTTCAGGTTCGAAAATGACATTCCCAGAACAAATGACCATATCTTCCCTTCTAAAAGGGTTAAATTAATAATCTTTTTTCTCAAAGTAATGATAAACCTGTGAGTTGGATGTAGAAAAGTCAGAATCAATATAGATGTTTTTTTATTTTAAAGAAAATTCAGATTGAACATAGTAAAAAACTGTAAATTATAGTGTCCGTCCAAAAATTATTTTTTACTTATAGTGAAAACTACCCTTGGATGATGGTAAGGTAGACTAAAAGCTTTAGGAATCCAAAGTACAACATATAATAAGTACCCTGTATCAAGATTGATGCAAAACAAGTGACATTTGACCTTTTTAGAGAGGTTTAGCAAAAATAAACTCCACCTCTGAGGTGATTTGGGTGGAAATGGCCGTTTTTACCGTTTCTCTGGAACCCATTGGTCGATTTTGGTGATTGACATCTCTTTTTGACCGTTAGAGCCAATAGAATCGAAGGGGGATTTCCCCATACACACACATGGTAAAAAAAAGAAGGTGGGGGCTTTGCGCATGCAGGTTTGCATCAGAGCGAACCTATCTCTCGCTCTGACATCTGAAAACCGAAAAGCAGGTTTATTGCTCATGGATTATCAGAAATCATTTCAAAGGGACACAGACACATTGGATTAACCTATGGATTAACTTCAGCAGCGTTTTTATCGTTTTAATGCAATTGAAGACCACTTTTGACCAGACAACGACCAAGGTGAGCGATGTTTCTGTTTTTAGCTACCTAGCGCCACATGTTTTGATGTCTGTTCTTGTTATTATCTCAGAGAATGACTGAATGGGTTGGTTATGGACTGCATCCAATACCTACAGTAAGTGGTGTGTGGGTGTGGGTGGGTGTGTGTGTGTGTGTGTGTGTGTGTGTGTGTGCGTGCGTGCGTGCGTGCGTGCGTGCGTGTGTTTGTGTGTGTGTGGGAGCGATTGCCGNGCTCGGGCCCTAATAAAAGAAACCTCCCGTGAGTGACAGGCTATAAAGTAGATTTAAAAAACGTGTTATAGAATAAAAGCTCACTGCGGGACGTTGTAGAAATGCGTGTGTGCACCACAACAAAGGAGCCTCATTCCCTTTACATTGGGGTTGTTTCCGTGGTGCAGACACGTAAATGTAGCAGAGTCCGTGACTCCACCACATACTGCGGTGTTAACCTGTTAAGCCCTGAGCCTGTTTTTCAGGTATCAGGCTCGAAAATGACATTCTTAGAACAAATGACCATATCTTCCCTTCTAAAAGGGTTATATTGATAATCTTTTATCTCAAAGTAATGATAAACCTGTGAGTTGGATGTAGAAAAGTCAGAATCAATATAGATGTTTTTTATTTTAAAGAAAATTCAGATTGAACATAGTAAAAAACTGTAAATTATAGTGTCCGTCCAAACATTATTTTTTACTTATAGTGAAAACTACCCCTGGATGATGGTAAGGTAGACTAAAAGCTTTAGGAATCCAAAGTACAACATATAATAAGTACCCTGTATCAAGATTGATACAAAACAAGTGACATTTGACCTTTTTAGAGAGGTTTAGCAAAGAAAACTCCACCTCTGAGGTGATTTGGGTGGAAATGGCCGTTTTTACCGTTTCTCTGGAACCCATTGGTCGATTTTGGTGATTGACATCTCTTTTTGACCGTTAGAGCCAATAGAATCGAAGGGGGATTTCCCCATACACACACATGGTATAAAAAAAGAAGGTGGGGGCTTTGCGCATGCAGGTATGCATCAGAGTGAACCTATCTCTCGCTCGGACATCTGGAAACGGAAAAGCAGGTTTATTGCTTAAATGGATTATCAGAAATCATTTCAAAGGGACACAGACACATTGGACTAACCTATGGTTTAACTTCAGCAGCGTTTTTATCGTTTTAATGCCATTGAAGACCACTTTTGACCAGACAACGACTAAGGTGAGCCATGTTGCAGTTTTTAGCTACCTAGCGCCACATGTTTTGATGTCTTTTCTTGTTAATATCTTCGCGAGTTCTTATCATGGAGTGATGATGTATGTATGGAACGATTCTGTGTCATCTCACGATCAGATCGATGGTTTAGACGTGCAGCTACGATAAGTAATAAGGGTGTTATGAGTGAGTTTCTGTGCAACACGCCGTTAGCATTTTTCGCTTGTGGCTAATTCATAGGCTCAGCGCTAGCTTTCTGGTTTTAAAAAAAAAAGAAAAAAGAAGAGTTTCTTCCCGTTACATGGATACAAAACATTCATAGTTTATTGAATATTAAGATGCCCTCAGACGCTGTTTCCTGCAGATGACGCGTTTTTCCCTGCGGTATCGGGGGTATGGTGTAGAAGAGGTTAAGGAGTCGTGGTGGAGTCACGTATTCTGGTGAGACCAGGTTGAAGTGATTGTCACACTAATACTAATTCTGCTAATATATAGATCTAACATTTTTAAGCTCCTTTCAAACACTTACGTATCGTCCACACGGTTCCATCGCGTTGAAGCTTGCCGGTGGGCGTGTCTGGCGCGTTTGATTGGCTGGCGCTTCCGTCGACGCTTGAAAAGTTCAACTTTTCTCAACTTTCGAAGCGAGCAACGGAGGCAAAGCGACGCGACGGAATCACAATGCAGTTCGGCAAAGCATGACGTCACCCCATTCAAAGTGAATGGGAAGCGTCTCCGCTGAAGCACGCAACGGAACCGTGTGGACGTACCATTAAAGACAGATGTATTGGGACTTTAACCGTCTTTATTTTGACAAAGAATTGCAGCTAAGATTTACTGCAAAATAACTATTATGAAACAAACACAATAACGCCCCTATAAAAAAGTTCAGTACTAAAATGCTTATTAAAAAAATTCCTTTGTTTTTTTAAAGAACCTGAACTTAACTGCAGCATTTCTTTTGTCTCTCAGTACAGCAGAAAGGATGGCCCTCACTCCCCTTGTTAACATGTATGTGCCTCACATTGGTACATTTACAGGAATATATATGTGTGTGTGTGTGTGTGTGTGTGTGTGTGTGTGTGTGTGTGCGTNNNNAGACACATTATCAACCTATGGATTAACCGATTGAGCCGCGTTTTTTCTCGTTTTAATGCCATTGAACACGTCTTTTGATCAGATTGACAGCTACGGTGAGACGATCTCCCTAAAAACTCCGTAAAGGTACGTGTTGTGATGTCTGTGTTTGCTTCCCCTGTCCCGAGTTCGGATCACTCAGTGATGATACTATATACCTAAATAATCTGTGGAACCTCAGCTTTAATCGGATATCTGTATGTGCAGCTACGATAAGTAATAAGGGTACTTTTATCTTGAGTTCTGTGCCAAAGTCCGTTAGCATTTTTCGCTAAGGGGTCATTTAGATGCTTCTTATGAGACTTGTGTTTTGTTTTGGTAAAAATGGTTTGTATCGTCAGTTAGCTGAGATTATTTCCGTTAATCTGGTATAACACATTAATAGGTTCTCAAATATTAAGATGCCCTGAGACACAGTGTCTTGAAAAAAAAAAGTAAAGTACCCGCCGGCGGGGACCTTGGGGCTTAACAGGTTTGTTATTTCTATCCATCTTTACACTTTCTGACCATCTACAGACATGATTACAAGTCACTCTTTAATGTTACTGTTGCATATGTATTTAAAGTGACAAACCCCTGATGCTTTTATTAAAACTTTCATTTCCTGTCTCCTTCTTTAGGCTGGGCCAGCCAGAGTTCAAAGGTCCACATCCACCACAGCACCTGGCTGCACTTCCAGGGTCACAACCTGCGCTGGCTGCTCACCTTTGTCCTGCTGTTTATCCTCGTCTGTGAGTTTGCAGAGGGCATTGTGTCTGATGGGTATGTTCCACACACTAAATAATCTAACCTACCAGTGTAACTGATGTTTTTGTCTTAATGTCCTGACACTGATGATGTGTGACTATACTATTTAGTATTTATAAGCAATTGTTAGGCTATTCCAATTATTATTACTTACTTGTAAATGTTTAACGTTTGACATGATACCACTTTTAAACAGTGGTATTTGATAAACAGACGCAACTGACATTGAGATGATTAATCAATCTGCATTGTGCTGTGTGACGGAGAGTATATCTGACTCATGCTAGTAGTTTATCAAAGACTGTTTTATAAACCTGGAATGGCAGGTGAATGCAATACAGGGTTATTAATTATCAACTTCATCTAGTTATAGCAATTACTCAATATTGATTCACTAGAGAAGCTTTTTTAATATATATAGTTTATATTTTATATTACATACAGCGGTTTTCCAACCATATTCTGGATATCTGCTGCTGTACAGGTTTGTGATAATGAAGCGCCTGGTTCTATTTCATTTTGTATTTAATCCATAGATAACTACCCTAGCATTAGCAGCTGCACTTTGACAAAAACGTATGAGTTGCAATTGCTGATTGCTCACAAATTATAATTTGTATCTTGTTAAAAATGACAAGCTTCATTGAGAAGAAAGCCACACTATTGTGTTACAGTGTTGTAGCCTATGACTGAAGCTAACCCAGGATTGAGGGATGACTCTTGTCTTAAATGATACAATTATTGCCAAATTACCAACAGAAACAATAGGGCAGTTACTACTACTAAGTAAGTGCAATTGTCATTTGTACATGATAAGCTGTATTGTAACAATAGACCTACAGCATTTGCTTGTCTTATGTTAATATAGCCTACTATACAAATCAGTGGCTGGTATTGCCAATTTAAGCTAATATCACATTTTAACTCATTCAAGGTGTTTATGCTTTTCCAACAACACTTAATACAGCCATAAAGCATGTGCCTTAAAACGTTGTGTCTGTATTTATAATATGTCCAACATTATTATATTTTTATAATCAGCCACATATGAGAAATGTTTTCAGTCTCTGGGAGACATGGCTAGACAGAGAATCCATCTAGGCCCTTTCTCTCTAAATCCCTGTCTCGTTATTTATATCCTGTTATCCTTTTTCTTCAATTCTGTCCCCTATGCATATATTTCCTAACGTAATGAGTCTCTTTCAAACAAGGTCAAGTAAGCACTTGCTACCTGTTTTGAGCAGACTGGAGACGAGTGTTTACTGAATTAAAGAGCTTGTCTCATCATCGGGCTATTCACACTGACTTCAATGCTGTGCTTAGGAGCCCTTCACATTGTGCAAACTCAAGATGTTCTTTCTCTATCTGATTTTTATTTAATTTGCAGATTCAGCCAATCCCTCCATCTTCATCTATACATGCCTGCAGCTCTGGCCTTCATCGCTGGCATCACCTCTATTATCTACTATCACAACATCGAGACCTCCAACTTCCCCAAACTACTATTAGGTACAGTATTTTTTTTATTCAACTATCCTTTGTTTAGTACTCATTAGATGTTTTCTTTTTTTATCTTTGCTCCCCCATTGACTCATGTCTTGTCTGTTGCTGTTGGTGTTTACTTAGCTCTGAACCAACGTGAGGCTTTCAAACAAGAGCGCTGAGTATAAAATATAAAATGTGATGAAAGTTCTTGGGTGTTACGGCCCGTCCACACAAAGGCATGAAAAAAATCTTGAAAGATCTTGATACTGGGCGTTTCTGAAGCTTGGCGATTTTTTGCGAGCAACGCGACCAACAACCAATCACATGAATCTCCCGCCCCCGACATACAAAGCAATAGCAATGTTAAAACGAAGTAAACTGGATATAAACTCCCCAAACAGACGAAAACCTACCAGTTTCACCCACTGTCTCTGCCATCTCCCTCCATTCCTGGTTCCTCCGGTTTGTATCCCGGTAAATAGTTCTGGTCGTAAAGAACCGGGTGATTTGCTACCGTAATTTCTCGTTTGGAATATGAGGAAATGAACTGCGGTCTGGCTCTCCCAGCTTGCACGCGGTTTGATTGGCTAGCGCTTGTACTGGCGGGATTTGCATAAACGGGATTTGATTGGCTGATTTGATTGGCTGATTTGATTGGCTGATTTTTTCATGCCTGTGTGTGGACGGGCCGTAATATATATAGGGATCGAGGCTTGTAGAACTCAGATGAATCAAACTGTTGAACAAAAATTGTGAGGCTCAGTTGAGGCTCCCCCCCACCCCCCACCCAGATGAGGCCCCCTCCGCAAGGTGAGGCCCCACGCAGTCTGCATGATCGGCCTGTAGGGAATGACGGCCCTGGTGTCTGCCATCAAGTTCCAGCTCTCCCGTGTTATCATTGTATTTCGAGTCCTTGCTCTAGAAATTTCCTTTACACTCGGCACTTTGAAGTTTATAATAATAATAATAATAATAATAATTCAGTCAGACAACTCACATGTTTCTTTAACATGTTTATTAGAAGCAGCATATAGTTGAGTTTGGCGACTAGGCTCGGGCATCATCACTCCATAGATATACATAGCACGATGAGTGATGATTAAATAACTAACCCCCGAGCCTACAGGTGGAAGCTGGGGTGGAAGCTGGGGTGGTGGTGGGGCAGCAAGCAGCAGCGACGTAGAGGTAGCTGCAGCAATAGCAGCAGCAAGCAATGCATGGAGAGAGATCTGGCAGGTTAAATAGAGCGGCATACAGTATTAAGGAGACTCTGTTTGGTTGGTTGCAGAGTGGCAAGGGGCGTTATGTATGAATTCAGCATAAGTGCTTGAGTTGACTGCCTGAACTAGCTCGCAGTTCTCGCCCCATTAATAATACATGAGACTTGTATAGCGCTTTTCAGGAAACTCAAAGACGCTTTGACAAAGAATAATAAAAAAATAAATTAAAAAAAAAATACAAAAAATACAAAAAGAGATAAACAAAACAGAAAATAGGGGGGGGGGGGGGGGCAGGGGTTGAATGCAGT